CGGACAGCCCCCCCTCCGCCCCCCCGCCCCCAGCCGGGGTAACCCGGACAGCTCCCCGTCCCTGCCCCGCCTGCCCCCCAGTCCCGGGGGTACCGTGGACAGCTCCGCACCCCTGCCTTTACTGGCCCTCCAGCCCGGGTAACCCGGGCTGCTCCCCCTCCCCTCCCCGCAACACCCTCCCGCCGCCTGCCCCCCAGCCCGGTACCTTGGACAGCTCCCCCGCCCAGCGCCTCCGCCTGCCCCCAGTCCGGTACCTCTGACAGCTCCCTCCTGCCGCCGGGCAGCGCCTCCCCCCGCCTGCCCCAGCCCCGGGTACCTCGGACAGCTCCCGGTCCCCGCTCCGCAGCCGCCCCCCGCCTGCACAGAGCCCGGCGCTCGCTCCCCCCGCAGCACCTCGGCTCCGCCGCGCTCCGGGCACGGGAGCATGGAGGGGAGGCACCGAGCCGCCGTCCCGGGACTGCTCTTGCTTCTGCGTAAGTACCGAGCCGTCCTCCTGCAGGGGCTTCCCCTGCTGCCAGGAGAGGGCTGGAGCTGGGGTGGGAGCGGGGCTGCCCGGGGAGCCGGAGTCTCGGGCAGGGCTCCCGCTTGCCCACGAGCGCGCGCGCGCGTGTGTTCTGTCCCGCAGAAGCAGCCGCCCGGGTCGTGGCGGAGCAAGAGGTGGAAAACCTCTCGGGCCTCTCCCCCAACCCCGAGAAGGACATCTTCGCCGTGAAGGAGAACGGCAAGGCGTGCCTCGTGGCCGAGTTCGCCGCCAAATTCCTCGTCCCCTACTACGTGAGGGACGTCAACTACGTGGATGTAAGGCCCCCCTCTCCCCTTGGAAGGGGGTTCGAGCAAGGGCAGGGTTCTGGGTGGCATCGCCCATCTCCACACTCTTGGGTCTTCGTGGTTGCAGCCTACAACTCCCTGAAGGGTAGCTGCAAAGGGGATGGAGCTGTTGTTGTCCGTGGTGGCCGATGACAGAATAAGGAGCAATGGGCTCAAGTTGGAGCAGGGGAAGTTTAGGTTAGATATTGGGGAAAACTTCCTCACTAGGACGGTAGTAAAGCACTGGAACAGGTTACCCACAAAGGTTGTGGAATCTGCATCCTTGGAGGTTTTTAAGACCTGACTAGACAAAGCCCTGGCTGGGATGAGATAGTTGGACTTGGTTCTGCTTGGAACAGGGGGCTGGACTAGATGACCTCCTGAGGTCCCTTCCAATTCACTTTTTCTATGATTCTATTATCTGCCTTCTGGCTAGGCCACGGCAATGACAGGCAGTCCTTTGCAAAACCTTTGAGCACCACTGGAAAAGGGAGTAGGTTTTTGCAGGAGCCTTCACTGGTCCTGCAGAAACTTACTCTGCAACAGCTGCTGAGAGCCAAAGGAATGGGGTGCTAGAAAGTTAAGAGCAGGACGAATACTTGCACATGCAACTAGAGCAGTGCAAAGCAGATAGCCCTAGGGGAAACCTCACCACTTTCAAATCTGGGACACCATAGGTTCTGGCCCTTTGAATGCTACTAGTGGGAAGGATGCATTAGCTGAAATGGAAGCTCTCCCATCCCCTGCACCTGGATCTATACTGCTGTGGTTAATGCAGATTTCCTCCTTTGAGCCTGTGCCTTGTGCTGCTTGGGCATGCAGGTGATAACTGAACAAGCTGATATCCCACTTTCCCGGGGAGCAGAAATAAAAGGCAAATGTGGCACCAATGAATCGGAACTGGAGCTCTCTTGGCTGGAAAAAGCCTACACCCTCCGGCTTTCATTCATAAAGGTAATTCACCCATGATTGTAGAGGGCTTATGGGCTCTTTCTTTACAGAAAAATAATATACATTCATACACACACACACCTATACAGACAGCTATATCTCAGATATCACATAAATAGCACAGATATCACACACACACATGCACACACACACATAGAGCCACGCATCTCATGGATTGGTCATTCTCTGTCAATAAATAAATACACACACACATAGATATATATATACACACACATATATATATATATATGAGCTGCCATATACTGGGTCAGACCTTAGGTCCATCTTGCCCAATCTCTTGTGTCGCACAGTGGCAGAGAGTGGATGCTGAATGAGGGAGTGACCTAGGTATGACCAGGGTTTTTTGGTCACTATTCCTCTCTCATTTGCAGCCTCCAGCATTTAAGATTTAGGAAATTCTAACTCAGAGGCTATATCCCTAATGCCTATCCTCAATAGCCCCTTTCCTCCGAGAAGTTGTCCAATCCCCCTTTTCCCCCACTTTTTAATTATAAATATGTGGTTATAAATATGATTATATGATTCAATTTTATTATTGATATGTGCTTATGGATACAATTACATGATATGATTTGATTATAGAAATGTGCTTATAGCTATTATCACATTATATGGTTTGATTATATGGTATGAATTGATTATATATATGTACACTTATAGCTATGATTGCATGATATGATTTGATTTTAGGTATGATTACAGATACATATAATGAACCAATAAGATCATATTTCAGCAAAACAAGGCTGTACTTTTTGACAGGGAGGTGAGGGGGAAACAACCAGGAAACCCATATGCAATCAATTCAGGCTCAACTTTAGGAAAAACTGCTTCACAACTAGGGTGTCCAGACTGTGGAATAAGCTCCCCCCAGAGGTGGTGCAATCACCTACCCTGGAAATTTACAAGAGGAGACTGGATGGTCATTTTGCTGGGGTCACCTGACTCCCAAGTTATCTTAGCTGCTTGGTGCAGGGGGCTGGACCCAATGATCTTCTGAGGTCCCTTCCAGCCCCTTACAGTCTATGAATCTATGCATAAGAGGCAAGAAGCCAACCCCAGCATGGCAGGTGTACAATCAAGCACTCAAGGCACAGACCTCATTCCACACCAATGAGGTGTTCATGTGACTGCCTGAAAAGCTCATTTGTTGAAATAACTACTCTTTATTTCCCCCCCACCCACTCTGTCTTGGCAGGAAGGACACAACACTAGCAGAGGGCAGGAGGTTCTGTGGAAAATGAACAAGGTCCAGTTCGTGTATGACACCAGCGAGAAAACCTACTTCAAAGAAGCTGTCACTCGTAAGTGCCAGAGAGAGTGCAGTACTGGGCTTTTTCTTCACAGTTCCTGGGGAGGTTAACCTAGAATAAGTTGATGCAGTGTGTAATTGGGATTTGTCACCTACTCTAGAGAAAATGGGAAACACTGGGCCATCTGAGGAGCTCCAGGAAATTAGTTATTAAAATCCAATTGATTTTTTTTTTCTAAATCCTGTCATTGAAACTACTGCTAGGAATATAGGTGGTTCTTCCTAGCACACTGGCACTGGCCACGCCTGTGAAATGCATCCAGACCTGTAGATAAAACTAGGGAAATGGGCACATTTTCCATAGGCAAGACAATTGCCTCCTTGGATTCCTTTTATAAACATTTAATTCTGTTGTTTAAGTCCCCTGCCATCCCCAGTGCACAGAGAATTCTGCCCCCTTGCTCTGCTAAGCTCAGGTCTTGTCCCCTACACTTACTTACCTTCCCCTTCCTTCTGCATGAATCCAGCCACGTGCCCCATCAGTAGGATGTCTCGAGCCTGAGTCACTCTGTGGGCTTCATCGCCCATTACCCACTCCATCCATTAGTAAAGCTACAGCTTGCCTTACAGAAGGTGCTTCTTTCCTGAGTATGGCTGGGTAATATGTAGCATATCCTTATTCCTGAGTGGCATTTTATTTCATTTTATTTTTGCCTTAATTTCCTTAGGCTCTGTGTGAGGTTTATTTAAAAGATTTGGTTTAATCCCTTTACTGAGAACCAGGGTTTGCCTGTTTTTCTGCTTTCCTGATTTTGGATCAGAAGCGAAGCATTGCTATTACCTTTCTAACACACCCACCTACCCACCCACAGTTTTTAATCTCCTTCCACTTCATTGTTATGTGTTTCATCTTCCTCTTTTCTAATGCAGTTTGATGCATCTTTTTTTCTGCCCCCTCATTTTCCCTATTGTTCTTGTCCAATGAACATCTCAGTGAGATGTTATCGGGGGAGTTTCTGCACCATTTTCTTAATAATCTGAAATGCAGAGGAATTCTTTTTTTCCCCCTGTACTAATAACTACTGCTACCTGTGAATATTTTAGATCTTTTATATCCAGTTCTGTTTTCTATTTATCATTTTATCCTCTGGTAATAGATTTTTTTTCCAAGCACCAAACCCCAGCTGTAACACCTTTTCATTTAGATTCTAAAATAATTGTAATCTTCACATCTTTTGTGGATTTTTTTCCCCTCAAGGGGCTACTTTGCAATGCTTCTCTTCTGTTGATGCAGACAGTGTGCCTGTAAATGGTGGGTTTATGACACAAGCCCTTGAGCTGGAATGGTGTGTAATGCACCATTTTTGTTTTGCAGGAACACACATGCAATTGTTTACCATGCAAGGCTTTAACTCCTTTACATACTTAACTTTTAGGCTTGTGAGTAACACTACTGCATTTCTGACAGGATGGGGCATTATTTTTCCAAAGGTTTGTCCCCTACCTCACTCCTGGGGCTTGATGGCTGTTAGGCAGATTTCCGGAAAGCCATGACATTTCCCAGAATATTCTCATGAGAAAACAACCCAATTTCTTCTTTCCCATTTCTGCTCATAAATGAGTCCTTTTGGCTTGAGAACTGGTGCTTTTTTACATTTAGTCATTACATTAAAAGGGTCTTGGTGTGCCTCTCACAGCTGTGTTTGTGACATACCACCCACAACCTTGGGAGTAGTTTTGCACCCTATGGTGACTATTTTGCATGCCTCCACTCCATGCTTCTGCACACACACATTAACCCTCACATGCTGAGCAAATGTGAACTGCTGTTTTCCTGCTATGTGAAACCTAACAATGAACACAAGGGCAGAAGATGATCAGGAAGCAGAAGTTATTCATCATTCCATGCTGCTGATCATGCACAGTCTTTGCTTTTGCAAATATGTTTGACTTAATGAGAAAATTCTGCTTTATAATTTGTATTTGGACAATGTTCATATTTTATTGCAAAGAAATGCATTAGAGGTAGTTTTTACCCAATGTTGAGTATCTCAAGTTGTGTCTTTTAGTTTTATCCAAATACAGAGGCTAATCTTTCCAGCCTCCCTCACTGCTATCTGAGTGCAAGGGATAGGCCTGATCCAAAGCTCATGGAGGTCAGTCATTGACTTCAGTGGGCTTTATACAAAAGCCAATGCATCAGCACTGCCAACATCACCAGAAATCCTGGTTTTCTCTGATAAAAAAAATCCCCAATATTTGAATTAAAAAAGTAACCCCAAAATCCATATTTTTCTGTGATTAAAATGAAACACCACTAATACACACACACACACACACACACACACACACAAATTTTGATCATGGAAAAATGTGGATAGTGGGTTCCTTTTTTTAAGTCCAAACATTGGGGATTTTTTTAAATTAGAGAAAACCAGGATCCCTGAACATCACTTAATAGGGAGAACAAGAAATCATATCTCAGTTGTCCCTCTATGGTTGTCAACCCAATAAAGCATGGGTTCTGACCTTGTAATGGTTGATGTAATGCTGTACTCAGTTTGCTCACCAGAGAGTTCCCACAATGGCACCCAGAACTTTTCCTGGCTCTACACAATTTTCATAATAAAGTGCTGTTCCAAGGTACAGTGCAGCCCCAAGAACTGCTACTGTTTGAATAAAACAGATGAGAAAGTGAACACCAACCTATAATCCAGGCATATTTGAATGAGGCTAGATTTATGATCAGCGCTGCAAAATGCCAGATTCCCAGGTCTGACTGTTCCACTGCTGTTTGTGTTGTGTCAACAGCTGGGAAGCACACAGCCAACTCGCACCAACTTTCTGCCTTAGTCACCCCAGCAGGGAAGTCCTACGTATGCCAGGCTCAGCAGACTATCCACCTGTACTTGAGTGATCACCAGAAATCCATAGACTTCTTGCTGTCAGAGGTCCAAATTCAGCCTTTTGACATCACTAATGATTTTGCCTTCAGTGAAGGTAAGATATATGTATCAAGGGCTGGGGGGAGAATGGCATAGCTTCAATGGGGACTTTGGACATATAACAAATGAAGTTCAGATTTGCTCCATGGCATTCAGCATGGCTCTTTTCCCAAAATGAGCTCTATTAGGTGTTGACAAACCCATCAGATACTTCCACAGTTTTATGCATTTAATAGCCTTTCCAAATTTGGAAAGTCCTTAAGCATGTCTTTTGTTGGTCAAGCAAATGAAAACTGGTTATGATGAGTTGAAGATCAGAAGGTGCAATTCATCTGAGTACTCAGTTCCACTGTATCATAGCTGAGCAGCCAGCAGACAGTGCTGGCTCTTTCTGATCAGCAAAGGTGTCCAGGGAAGCAGCCAGAACCCCAGAGGCTCCTTTAAGGACTGCTTCCCCTGGTCTGAGACAATGGAATTGCCTACGCTGCAATTCTGATACCTAGGCTTGTTTTAATCCAGCTAGGGTAGATAACACGAGCCATGAAGATGCATTGGCAAGGGATTCAGCGTGGGCTGTACACGCCTGCTAGGGATACCTTTGCTCTGCTTTGCTCTGAGGACAGTGTGGCTGTGTATTCACTGCAATTGTTATACTCACTAGGTAGATTAGAGCCAGCACCAGCTTTCTTACTTGTTCTGAATTCACACCTCTGAGTGCATCATAAACAGAGCCTGACTGTGTGTGTGGGCTGTGGAGGACGTGCAGCCAATGATCTATGCTGAGGAGTAGCATAGGGTTATGACTAGCAGGGTGAAGAGCAGGGGCTGAGGCATCAGAAGCGTAATGTCCCCACCTTCTCCTGCCCATGCTATGATGTATTTTAGAATCACAGAAAATGAGGGTTGGAAGGGACCTCAGGAGGTCATCTAGTCCAACCACCTGCTCAAGGCAGGACTAGATCCAGTTATATCATCCTAGCCAAGGCTTTGTCTGCCCAGGCCCAAAAAGCTTAAAAAACATAATGTCCCATTGATTTTATTTCTTCATATGGTGGGGAACAATTACCTGGACATACCCTCACAACTCACTTGTGGATTTATCTCCTTAGCTCATAACTGTTATGGAATTAGCCTGTGGTCCAAAGAATGCCCAGAATCTAGTAAAGATGGCAGTTATCTGGAAGGGGAACTGGTTTTGTGGTTATGGCAACACAGTGGGTCTCAAGGGATCTAGGTTGAATTCCCAGCTTTGCTGGAGATCCCGTCTGGAACCTTGGGCAGTCCCTTTGATCTCTGTGTTTACCTTCAGTATCATGGGAATGGTAATAATTTGCCACCTCATAGTGATGGTGTAAGGATAAAACACATTACTGTAAGCTGCAGAGAGTGCTATGATAAAGCCTACAAGGAAAGAAGAGAGTCCAAATTCAGTCTAGTCTTTGGATGTTTGGGAGTAAATGAGGCAGGGAGCTGCACACTGTGTAAGGAAGATAAAAGGAAATGTGGAGCAGCTGCCATTTCCATTGGGCACCATCCATCTTGCTCACTGAATGAGGTAGGGAGCCTGCCACAAAATGGTATGGCATTATTTTACAGATGACTGAACTGTAACTCAGATGCACAAGTGTGGGGAGAGAATGAGGGATGAGCAGGCAACCTTAATTTTGTCATTTTCTGATAAACCAGAGCTTCAATGTACAACCTTAATGTTCTTTTAAAAGGAAGTTTATTTTAACTATGGAATAGGCTGAAAATCCTTATGCATTTTGTAAGATTTTTGGGGGGGGGGGG